AACTGAGTGACTTGCTGCATAAATTTTCTTTCCCAGCTTTGCCGATCATTAATATCAAATAACTTAAAGTTTTCGTGTTCGTCCTTACCCGACACTTTGAGGCGCAAATTTTTTACTGAAAACTACGTTAAAACCACGCATGCATGCTCAAGGAGGTTAGACTCATTTCTATTCAAAATGTAAGTCTTACCACACACCGAACACATTGTGGTGCTTCTTTCTCTAGAAATTCAATTAGTCGATCGTCTATAAAATACGGCGCGTTGTTTCGCTTTGAATGCTTCAAAAACAACTTCCTTCGCAAACAAGGAACTTTCGTTTCCAAGCTTGTAGATTTTTGTTTAGAAGTTAACTATCAATTCATGTAAAGTGGTGTCGCGTTACTAACAAAGCGGTATTTTGCGATTTTCCCGATGTCAACTCGATTAAAAACGTTTATTTGCAGGAAAAATCTTCCATTTTACTCGAGTCTTTGTGCATCCGATATCATCGAAACTTTTAACAGATTTTTTTGAAAGAAGTTTTGTTTTGGCCGTTAGCATGTACACTGTTGTCTGTGATTTATATATCATACTTTCCCTTTAGCTGAATAAACTTCTGAAAGCTTATGGATTTCAGTGTTTTGGCTCAATGTCTGTTTAACCGTGACATTTAATAATTAAGTTTTGTCACCCTCCCCTATGATAATGTGATTTCATAAAGTTTTATCCTCAAATACGACTACGCACGTTAGTTCTGCCTAATGCGCGTGTTATTGCTTTTTTAGGAAGTTAAGATGATGACTTGCCTTGCTTTATAGACGAATGAGTTCCTGTGAACCCAGTGGAACTCAGAGTACGCAGGATTCCCCTGCCAAAACAGACGAAGAATCGGTTGAGCCACCTGACTCTGCGTGTCTTATGTCAGATGCTTTGGAACCCCCAAAGCGATCAGCCATCCGCAAGGACAGCACTGGCAAAATGTCGAACAAAAAGGTGAAGATTATTGAGCCCGCACCCACTCACCTCGCTGATAACGACTCCGAGGAGGATGAGAGTATGTCTCAGTCTGCCGCTGCCGTTGTCCCGTCCTCGGATGTTGTCACCACTGACGCCTCATCCAACCCTGTAGAGGCCGTCATCAGTGCATCCACTCTCGGAACAACCGAAGAAACCCATTCACCTTCAGTTGGCTCGACCTCAGCGTCCGCAGGGCTTATGGTTGTCAATGATGCAATGCAGAGTACCGGAGTGGCCGGCCAGGGTGTAAACGACACTGCTGCTGGCCTGGACCGCAAGAAAACGAAGGAAGAACGCAAGAAAGAACGGGAGAAAAAGAAAGAGGAGGAGATGTTAAAGAAGTACCAGGCCGAACAAGAGGCCAAGCAGAAAGCAGCAGCCAAGTCAAAGTGTGGCCGATGGATAAAACACAATATAAAGGTTGGTACTCGTTCATATTAACTGTGTTCGTGTTTCTAACGCCTGCATTCTGTAGATTGGTGAGGGAGGCTACAAGTTCGTATACCGTGGCTACGACTGTGTCGAGGCGCGGAATGTGGCCTGGTGCGAGTTCAAGCCAGAACATGTAGACACGAAAGAGAAGCGTCAAGCCATGTACCGTGAAACAGAGATTATGCTTAAAATGAACCACCCTCACATTGTCCGTTGCTTTGATGTGTTCCGAGAATGGACAAACGAGGAGTCTCCCGACCATCCGCTAGAAGAAAAGGGAATTGTGATTATTCAGGAGCTTATGGGTGAAGGCACACTAAAAAGGTAAGGGGCCAGGCTATTGTCCGGAATGTTTCTTGTCCTCTTTCTATAGTGTCATTCGAAAGAACTTCCTTGATGGTCAATGCATTCTTAAGTTTCCTCTGATCACTCGCTGGTGGCATCAGATTCTCGACGCCCTTCGTTACATGCATCACAAATTGGAGCCACCTATTTTGCATCGTGATCTGAAAGCCGAGAATTGTTTCCTCTACGGAGCCTCTGACGAAGAGTACCTGAACGTGAAGGTCGGGGACTTCGGTTTGGCCACACATGTGGGAAATAGTGGTCGAAAGACAATGCTAGGTATGCACTCTTCCACTCTATGACTCCTTTTTTGGGGTTGGGGCTTTTTGACCACCTGTTGTTCACATTCTTTTTGTGGACTCTTGGCATATGCCGTGCTGGCACCAGACCTCACTCATTACCCCTGCAAACAGATCGTTAGGCTGTTTTTTTTTACCGACTAGGCCGGCCAGTCGGTAAAATGCTCGACTTATTTTTTAATCTGCTAACATTAAGGCAAGATCAGAAAGTGTGGCCGGTTTCTGCCATTAGAATAAACTGACAGATCACGCCATAGTCACTTTACTTGGTAGTCTTCCTCCTACGCTGTCCACAGTTTTTCGCTACAGACTTTTTAATGGAAGACTTTGTAAGATAAGCACGTAAGGTAAACTTGATGGCTTCGAGGCTCCTGTTAGGACGTTATAAGCCATGGTAGGAGTAAATTCAAACTTATTAAATTAACCCACTGACTGTCTGGTGAGAAGTTGCGACCGCTTTTGTTTTGCCCTCTGTTTGTCTTTACTGTCCTTACGCCAGCTGTAACCCTTGCCATACTGTATAAGTTGCTGAACAAACAGGGATGAATAGCCTCATGTGCACCACTATAAGCACATTCTTGCTCAGACCGCCACCGTGTCCAACTCGTGGGACAGAAGCAATGCTTTTCGTTTGCGCTAGTAGCTGCACTTCCTTCTGACCAATGCTGGCTTGCATACCTAAATGCAGTAGAAACTAAGGTAATATGAAAGAGGCACATAATCAATGCATTAAATACAAGCGACAGCAGCTAGGTTCTAACTCTGCCTAAATGTCAATGGCGTAAACTCAGGCAACTTACTGCTTTCCACGTCCGACAGTCATTCTTAGCTTGCTCTTCTTCTGTTACAATTTTCACACTCCACACTAACGAATTACATTTCAGGGCCCGTTATTCTTTAACACTCCTTTGATTTAAGTGACGATGCCGCTACACGACATGCTATATAATTTTATTTAAATCTAAAACTGACTCATGTGGCTGTTCTATCCTAGGGTTTTGGTTAGCGTTTGCCTGGCCTGTGAATTTATGTTGGTCCTTTGCTGTAGAGATTGATATAGGAGCACTAGCTAGGTCTCCTAAAAAAAGGCTGAGTTGGTTTTCGCAGGCTTGACCTATGTTGGTTTTTCTTCTGCACAGGAACACTCGGTTTTATGGCACCGGAGATTTTCGATGAGAAATACGATGAAAAGGTGGACATATACGCCTTTGGCATGCTAATGCTTGAGGTTATGACAAATCGAACCCCCTACGATGAATGTGACACGATGATCCAGGTGGCTGCGAAGACCATGTCGGGTCACGGGCCTGACCTGATGCAAAAGATATCTAATCCAACTGTTCGTATGGTCATCAGTGCGTGTATCCACCCACTGGCCTGTTTTCGACCTACTGCTGAAGAGCTCTACTTTCATCCCCTCTTTCAGGTACTTTGTAATACTGAGTTTCTACCACTCAATTCTACTTGAAAGTTCTACGCCTGTAGGGTCAACTAGCGTTTATTTGCACAGTAACTTACTCGTAAGGTTTCTTCCAGCGATACCCCAAAAACTTAATATTCGCAATTATTAGGGGT